AAAGATTTTGTTTCAAACATTTGCTATTCATAAGAATATACATTAACATCGATTTCTATTCATACTATGTCGACACATCCGACCAAAAAAGTCAAATTAGAAGATTTGCCACAATGTCCATATGGTATTTTGCTTTGTGTATTCTTCTTTGTTGTTATATATTTTTCTTATTTCTAGGTAGCAAATGTTATCGTAAAAATCCAGCTCATTTCAATGAATATTCACATTCCGATTGTATATCTACTTCAGTTACTCCAAAAGTAGTCACAACTGGTTTGTTGATATTCAATATCTTTGCTTTTAAAATTTGATTAATTTAATTTAGATACTAATAAAACATTACCAGTATGTCCATTTGGTGCTACATGTTATCGAAAAAATTTATTACATTTTGCGCAATATAGTCATCCATTTGATTTATTAAATCCTGATGTTGATAGTAGTGATGAAGAAGAAATTAAGCAAACAAATAAAAAGAATGAAATAATAAATGATGATAAAAAACGAAAAAAAGAAAGTGAAGAAGAAGTTGATGGAGATAAAACAGAAGAATATGATTCGAATGATGTAAGTTAATAATGAATTGTTTTTTTTTTTAATGAAATTTTTAATATAGGAAAGTGTATATGATGTAAAATTAGAGAAAACTTTTTCGAAAATGACTGATGATGAAAAACGTTTAATGATTGAACGAGTAAATAGAAATCAAATATGAATTTTTTTCTTGGTTTTTTTTTTCTATTGAAAAAATCAATTTAAGGCATTTGAATTAAAAGAAAAATTACAAGAAAAATTAAAGAAAACTCGTGAAGAAACTGAAAAAAGAAAAAAAGAAATTGAAGAACTTCAACATAAAGTAAATTAATCTTTTTTTTTTATTTGTATTTCAAAATAAAGATCTTCTTGTTTTTTTTCTGTTAAGATTAGCGAAGGTGTATTATTAATGGAAGGTGAAGAAGAAATTCTTAAAGGTACTAAAGTGAAATATTTCGAACTTTTTCCCGAACGAAATTGTAAACAAGGTAAAATTAATGAAAATTTTTAATTCAATTAAATAATTTTATTTCAAAAAATAGGTTCAGCTGCAGAATTACATTTTCGTCTAGCTGAATCTCAATTTTATCGTTTATTAAGTGGATATACAACGTAAAAAAGAAAAATTAAATAATAAATATATATTCAATTTCAAAATTTTTATTTTCTAGAGCAAAAGTAACCAAAGTTGAATATGTTTGTAATCCAATTTTAATCAATAAATTCAAGTACAGATTTTAAGAAATATTAGTCCTTCTTTTTTTCTTTTTATTGATTCTTATTATTTTAGTCAAGCACGAGAAGAACTAAAGAAAAAACGTGGTGAAGAATATTCTTATCCTGTATTAGCTTTTCATGGTACAGCTGTTACTAATATTCAACCGATATGTGAAAATGGTTTTAAAGTACCTGGTAAATAAATTCCCCAATCCAGTAAACATTCTATCTTCATTTCTTGCTTCTAGGTCAAGAAGGATTTACGCATGCAACTGATACTGGTTATTATGGACGAGGAGCATACTTTAGTGTAAGTTTTCATATGAAAAAAGTTCAAATTACATATAACGGATTGTACAGGAATAATCGAAAACTTTTGTGATTAGTTGTTAGTACGCATGCAAAAGAAAGCATACAATTTAATTCTGAATAAGTCAAGAACAATACAACTCTAAATTTGCACTATCATTAAACTCTAAAATAGTAGATTTTTGTAGAGAATTAAATTCTTCATTGAAAAAGTCTTTTTATGAAATAATTTTCATCGGTTACATAAAACAAAAAATGATTGATTACAAATGTACTTCATTATTTTAACATAACTTGTTTGTTTATATTCTTTAATGTATTTCATATCATATAGGAATATCCTGGCTTTTCGATGGGTTATATAAAAGGTTCTACAAAATTATTATTATGTCAAATATTACAAGGAAAAGTAAAGAATAGACAATGGAAAATATATAAACGAAGAATGTCTTCTATTCTTGTTTTTTTTTTTGAAAGGTATATCACTGTACACAATTAATACTTGGTTCTGCTCTTATAGATGTGAAAAATTCTAATATATCTTTATTTTCATATATTTTATATTTTTATTTAGGGTTATGATTCACATTGTTCACCTAGTAAACAAGAACTTATTATCTTTCGTAGTGATCATATTCTTCCTCAATATATTGTTCATTATAAATTAGATGCTGGAGAATTTAAATATGCAGTATATTTTAATAAATTGTTTTTTTTTCAATCTATTTAATATATTTAAATAGGCTACTGGTGCTACAAAAGAAGCTATAAAGAAAAAATTAGCTAAAATCGGAAAATTATACAAAAAAGCAGTAGCAACTAAAGATAAAAAGTAAGTATCTATCTTCTCTATGAATAGAATTGTTCTCGGGCTGACCTCGGTCGCTTGACTTGTTTTATAGTTAGTCAAGGGACCGAGGTCAGCCGGGGAAAAATCTATTTTCTTTTCGAAGAAAAATAATTAATTTTAAAAGAAAATATATTTCTGATTTTTGTTTTTTTCTGAAGAATATTTACTGGTTATAACTTTGCATTTATCGGTCAAATGGCTGATACACCATTAGCTATTGAAGCACTTGTTAAACGATTCGGTGGACATGTTTGCAGTTAGTTTTATTAATGAATAAACGAATAGTAATTTGACAAAGTCTTCATTTTATTTTTATCATTGTAAAGGAACGTCTACAAAAATTTGAAGTTATAATCGTTCTCTACAAAATAATAGAAGAATCAAGAATTTTAGCATAATCATTCGGAAATAGTCGAGCTCATTTTGCAAGTCTGTTTTCCATTGATTATTTATTTTATTTAAAATAATTTTCAAAACTCTAAAAGCGAAGTCTTAGAAAAATTTTGAATCTATTATTCGAAAGCAATACAAAGTTTTGATTTAAATTTCTGCAGACGTCCTTTTAACAGGCCAAAAAAAAAAAAGAAAATGAACGAACATTTTGTCATATTACTTTTCGATTATTCATTACTTTGCATAGAAATAAATATTATATTTTGATTTAATATAGAGAATACTGTTCCATTTGGTGGAACAATAATGACAACTGGTTTATTTGTCAATGGATATGCTGCAACTGTTCCATTTGATCCACCTAATATAATCATTTGTTCAATAGCTGAATATGAAGCAACAACTCCATCAACTGAATTACAAGCTTATAAAAATATGAATGTAAATTATGATTTTTTCCTTTTTTTGATTGATTTTCTATTTTTTTTTTAGTATTATGTTTTTTATCGTGAAGATTTCTTATATGATTCAATTATTGAAGGCACAGTGAAAACATTAGAAGATTATGTACATGATTGATTTATTCATTTTTTTTATGTGTGAGAATGAATATGATGTCAAATAAATTTTGAATATTTTGTTCATAATAACTATTATCAAATAATTGAATTTAAAAGACTATTGTAATATTTATTATAAGTAGAAAATATTGATAATAAATGTAAAGATGTTAAAATAACAAAATAATTGATAGAATAAAATTTTTTCTCCGACATAATAGTAAATTTTGTGATGTTTTTGAAATTATTATTAAAATTAGAGTAAATTAACCAAGCTAAAGATTTATATCAAGCGTTGATAGTGATAACAACTGATGAACATAAGAATAGAAATATCTATTAGGAGTTTCGACGGATCAAGTTTACTCAAGGAGATTAGACGAATGTAACTGTGCTTTATGAAAAAGTACTTCGAATTCGTCCAAAAAAAAATTCTTTTTTCAGAACAAGCTGAGATGACTGAGTGTTACAACAGCAGCGTCACCAGAATTTTTAGACCAATGGGCAAACTTCTTCTGTGTCGGGACAAACGATAGTCAAGATTTTTATTAATAGGCCAAAAATTTTTTGATCCAGCAAAGTATTGAAAACGTAAAAAAAGCACAAAAAAAAGAAATGAGGTTCTTTTAACCAAATATGCATCAAACTCAGATCTTAAGCTTAAGTCAGATGTGTTTTAGTCTATTTTTAATATCTCTGTCTATTACATTTATATTTCAAATTTAAACACCAAAATCAAGACGACAATAATGCATTTGTATATAAAATTTCAATATTCCATTTGGATTTATATCAAGATCTTTATGAATGTATGTAGCAGCAAGTCCGTTTAGCCTATTCTATTTCATTGTAGACCGACATTCACGTTCACCACACTTACAGTTAAAATATAAGACACGATTCTTTTCTTAATTCTTCACAGAAAGAACAAGCAAAGAGTGCATGTATGATTCAGACGGAAGAAAAAAAAAATACAGTTACTATCTAATTCAAAAATAAATAAACAATTCTGAAAAAGTAAAATTTCAATGGACAAATGAGATGGGCAATTGTCCATTTGGCCCCACCCTTAATTACACCACTGTGTTACTATCATATTGGTCTAGTGTATGACCAGTACAGCCGACTACTCGAAAGGACTTTTGTATTGAGAAACTCGTATGACTACAGTTAACAGAACAGTCAAACCTACACTCAGACTTTTACTCTTCTCATAGACACCCTCGACCTGTTTTTTTTCCTGAGCAATCAAATCATGTATAGTGGCAGAACGATCGATTCTTAATTGTAAAATGTTATTTATTTCAACCCTATTGAGTTGAAAAAGCTGGAGAGAAAAAATTTAAAATTCGACTTGAGAGCAATGTACAGAAAAAAAAACATTCGACGCTAGCAAAACTGTGATGCACACTCATACTTGTATTGTATGGATTCTCTTTTGAATGTTAACATACAGAACAAAAACTATTGTGGACGGCAACGCAATTGCTATATAGTTTTGCTTAGTGTCGTGTGAAATGGAAGCGAAAATGCTTCAGTAAGTAAGGAAAATAAGCATGGCATTGATGATGGCACATAGTAGAAGCCTCTCATGTGAGCAAAGATGTTTCATTGTCTATTTCTTTTAGATAAGACTCATGACTGCAAATTCTACTGATTCAACAATGATGCCACTTAATGCTCCTGTGCTAATCCGAAGTCGATCATGCACTATTTCTACTGAACCTGGTAGGGAAGCCACGGACGATAGTGTTTCCAGTTTTGATGGAGAAGTACATATAGCTCGAGACGGCTTACGTAAGTAGAAATTGTTATGCTAGCAAAGCTTTAAGAATCTCGATTATTCGCGTGTGTCAAGAGCGAGACTTGCATTGAACTCGATAGAACAAAATAAAAAGTAATTGTGTTCAACTATTGTACATATCAGATCTATCTCATTGTGAAGAAAGTCAAGTGTAAACAGGAGATAAAAGTCAGAGATTTATGGTTTTTCTCTCTATTGTTCAACACTATACGTATAGTAAGAAAATCTTAGCTTAAGATTAATTAAAACTTTATCTAGAGTATGCTCGTTAGAAAACAATCAGCTGTCAGATATTGATGGACTTAAATCGATTCTATATAAGTCAAGCTTAATGAGATTAGTCGAAATCCAAAAAACATCATCTGAGTACATTATCTTTTTAGAACTGTGTGCTCGAACAAGAGAATAAAAAAAAATGAGACTTTACCTAGAAGCATCTCTTAATCATAACATGAGATGAGTAGCCTGTGATGGAAAATTACTGTCAACTTATTTCATTTAGCTCTAGGATCGACTGATGAAGGTTAGTGAGATGGCAATTGTGAGAGATATTTGACTGCAAAATCGACCAATATAGGAGAAAGACTTTCTAACAATATGAAATTATTCACTACAACCATCGGATGACCTATAATGAATGATAGATTTATGTATTTCTTTTTTTTAATCATCTACGTAGTACGTTTATTTTAAAAATAAAATATTGCATAAGATGCAGCATGAAAAGCTCTACAAGATATATTAAAAATTTAATTCCATATGTGCATCCTTTGTTTTCAAATGGGCACAATTTTGTACGATCAAATCTTGATGCTGTGAAAAGTTATTTTTTTAGTACACGACAAATTTTGTTTCTTATTTCTTTGATTAATGAGCCGTAATAGATGGTCATCAAATATTCTCGATCTCGATGTTCTGAATTATCATGTACGCGACGCTATTGCCAATCATATGTAATGAAATAAAGTTAAAAGTTATAATTTATTAATTGATTGTTATATATCAATTAATAATCTCATTTGCAAGATCGAACATCAGTCATACAGAATTTTGTTCATTTTGAAAACAAAGAATGTACATATGAAACAAGGTTTTAAATGTATCTTGTAGAACTTTCCACGCTACATCTTATACGATATTTTATTTTTAAAATAAACGTACTATATGACAAAAAAAAAGAAATATAAAAACCGGCCATTCATTATGAGTCTTCTATATACTAACCGGCACGCACCACTGTTTTGAATCAATGTCCCATTGTGCCGACAAACTAGTACAAGAAAAGACGAGATCATACTGATAGTTGATAGTGTGTACTATGGATCGAAATTTTTAATGCATATTCAATTTCTCGGAACTATTTCATAGAATTATGATTTTGTATCATTTTATCCTATCGTTTACTATCTCCTGTCGTATAACAAACACAGATATGGTTTGTAAATCAAATGTGACTCATTTTTCTTTATATTGATAGTTTTATGATGATCTTCATATGAGAATAAAATATATGCTGTATAGAATTTATTCATTTCTGTTATTCTTTGATATGAGTAGTTTTCTACTCTTTTGTTTGGGTATCATTTAGAAGAGAATTCATCATACTTTAATGCAGAGCTCAATGAAATTGAAGAAGAACGATTAATGACGTTGGTTCTCACGTATGAAATACGAAAGAATGATGTTCAACGTCTTCGCAAACTGAAAAATTTCGAAATTGTCATTCTTTGTGACGATTCTGGAACGATGACAAATTTTGTTGATGGAACGACACGTACTCGGTGGGATGAGTTACGAATGTTTGTACGTTTAGTTGTAGAAATCGGTACGATATTTGACTCGAATGGAATTAATATACATTTTCTCAATAGACAAAACTCTTATAGAATTACCAATCCTAAAGATGTAGAACGATTATTCAAGATTCCTCCACGTGGTTATACTCCATTGGCTCGTGTTCTACGAAACATTCTTCAATCACATGTTCAACATCAACAAAATAAAAAATTGTTAATATTCATTGCTACCGATGGAATACCCACTGATGATGATGGAAATCCTAATCTTCCCGAGTTCAAACATGTCATGGAACATGAACGTCAAGTAGACAACACTCATGTAATGTTTCTCATTTGTACGGATGATTCAGAGACTGTCAGCTACTTGAGACAATGGGATGCAGAGATGGTAAATGTCGATGTGACGGATGATTATCAAACACAGAAAAAAATGATTCGGGAAATACACGGAGCCAATTATCCATTTTCATATGCTGACTATGTGGTGAAGGTATTGGTCGGTGCTATAGATCCTGATATTGATCGTTCTGACGATTTACCTGATGAGGATGATATTTTGAGTTAATAATCGCTAGAGACTTTGTCATTGTCATCAACTGATAGAAATTCATTTTAAAATATTATGGAATGTAGGTGTCGGTATTGTCGTCACTCACACCTACATGCATCATGCAGTAACAAAGTAAAGTAGATAATGATTATTTGTTACAACTGAAGCGCATTCTTTAATGAGATCAAAATATGTTAATGTAAATATGAAGAATATTCCAGTAATAACACGATAGTTTCTATGAAAAACGACAATAGTAATATCAATGATTTAATACTCGATTAAATAATTTTGCTCCTGTCTCATTAATCTGATATTATTTGTAGTAAATATATATATAAATAATTCACCGAAAAAAAAAAGATTAGAACTGCTATCTATAAAATAAATACTTCAATATCCATAAACATCATACATTGTTATGATTATAGAACATTATCATCTTACAGATTTGTTTTTTAGATAGCTTTCTTTAAAATTAAATTGCATATTTTTGCTTAAATAAATTTAGCATTCCAAAAAGACTCAAATTAATCGTTCAAAAACAAGGTCAAAGTATCACGTAATCTAATAATCTACCAAACTTTAAACTATGAACTTTTATTGAAAGCATACATGATGAACATATACATTCAAGACATGTATATCGACCTTAATGTTGTACGACATTTATGTTTTTGAAGTATTTTTTTTTTTTACATACATTATATCTCAATTAATAGCTTGAGATGAAGTTTTATGAATGAAAAACTGACGATAATTTGCATGAAGATACTTCTCAATTTTGTGTAGCTTGATATTAAAATCAATAGCATTTCGCTTGAAGAAATTTCATTTGAACAAAATTGGTTGGATATCAAAGAGAAATAGAGGAAAAATAATTTGAAAAGTAAAGGAGGTTTGTTTCATAAATTTTACTAATACTCAAAATTAGTAGAGTAATATTCCAAAAAAATCAATCGAAAATCTTTCTACGTTCGAAAAAAAATTTAGTTTTACTAACAAACTGTAGAGCGATATTTGTTTTTTGAAGTATTCATACATTAAGACTGGTTGATATATGAAAATACCATACAGAAATCAGCTCCAAGACAGAAACATGTTGGGAAAATATTACTTTCATACACAATCGACACCACTCCATAAAATACATCAATTTATTTTCATGAATTTTTTTTTCTTTAACAGTACAATGACTGTGCTTCTCACTAGGTCCGATCATTTTATCCTTTTTTGACATAACTTTTACTGAGATTTGGCTCACCCTGAGGGGGGATAGGGGAAGCTTCTCCACGCTACCCCTTTCTTCGTTGGTCATCACTTTTTATAAATGCCGAAAAATATCAAATAGTTGTCTATTGAGAAAAAAATCTTTGTAAACGAAATTTCTTTCGGGATCGGGCCGAGCCATAAAAAATTGGCTCGATTTCAAGGTCTGCTTCTCATTCATATTCAAGTTTAATTTATTAGAATAAGGTTCATCTTTTAAATCTGTCATATTTCTATTCTTTTTATTAAGTAGAATTTAGCATACATCAAACTTTGTCTGAGAATCTTCTGTTTTGAAGAAAGCTATTTACGATGACACGTAATAGAAAAAGAATAAAAATTGAATTGATAAATCATTTGTCTAATTTTTATATATTATTAATAGAATCCTTTTCGTTAAATAATTTTGTCTATTTGCATCTAATCAGATATATAGTAAACCCTTCCTCGCAATAGAAGTCTCTAAATCTTCTAGTATGTCACAGCGCACAGACTATTCGGAGAGGCCCTACTATTATATTTTATTTATTTAAATAATCTTTCATCGAAATGGTTTTTCAAAAAACCAAACAGATTTTTGAGGAGTGTAAAATAGATTTGTCGTGGATAAGAGTTTTTGCAAGTCTACTTGATTGCTTCAAGGCTTCACAGAATCCTCTAGAATGTTCTTGTACAGAAAATCCTTGAAAAACTCGTGCGGCTACAATTAATTTTCGGTAGAGTACTTGTATGAATAATCAACCATAAACACACAAGGATATCTGACAAATTTTTGATATATTCCATTTTGTAGAGTCTTTTTTTCATTGATCATTTCAGTAAAAAGTCAGCGAAATTATCAGATTTCTGTGTTTCTTATGGTTGACTACTGATGGAAGTATTGTTCGAAAGAAAAAAAGGCCAACTTTCGGATTGAAGTAAATTATATTAGATTGCAAGTATGTCAATTAGCTGATGATTTATGATTAAAATCTTGCAACTTTCCTCTATCATCAGGAAAAAATTAGTTCATTTCATTAAAATACAATGGAGATTTTCTATTATAGTTTTTGGTAGACTACTTCTGGGACATCCAGTAGACATTCTCGCCGAGCCTTTTTAGATGGATTTATATCCATCATAGATGAATGAGAATTTTTGATATGATTTAACAATTTTACTTCTACTATGCAAGACAAAAAAAAACCATAATTTGTTTCAAGTTCGAGCACTTGTATTTATTTCTTCGTTTAGATATTTGCTGGAAAAAAATTATTTTTCATTGATTCAATTTTTGATTTCCATCTAAGGACAATTTTATAAATGATAAGTGTATATTTACACTTAATAGATCTGGTTCAAAACTTTTCTGCATATGCGAATTCTAGTTTTACATCTTCAAGTGTAACTAAAAGATAAGAATCCATAGAATATTATAAAAAGTACGAATTATTAACTACGGTGAAGCATCCAACGCAATTGATACAGGCGTTATTTTGTTTTTACTTGCATTTCAGATGAGAATGAGTAATAAAAAAAAACAATTAACAGTAACACAAGGTCAATCATTGAAAGTAAGTTAGACATTTAGTAAAGAAAGTTATCGAATTATATGGAGAAAAAGTAACATAAATGAAGATGAAACCAATCGATTTATAGTCATAAAAGATGAAAGAATTTATTGATTAGAAATTAAAGAATCAAAAAAATGAATTGATGATCTAATATTTATTATTAAACTTGAATATAAACAATAATCACATCAAGTTATTATTACTGAATAGTTAAATTTTTCTTAATTGCTTCATTTTTATTTAATAAAAACTTCAATCGATACTATCATTCCATTAAATGATAAAACTTATATTGAAGGTATACATTTAAATTTTATATTTAATTAAATAAACCAACTAAGAATTCATTAGGTAAATATTCTAATATTTGTATTGATTGTCGATCACGACTTCAATAACTTTCTAGATCACAGCCAAAATTTTTTGCACGTGAATAAATGTTTTTGTTTCCAGTGCTAACGCTTATGACAAATTTTCAAATAAAAGTAGATTTATTTCTAAATAAACGATCTCTTAAGAAAAAGAGGCACATAGAAAAATGGAAGAAAAACAAAAACGTTTTATGATTATTTCTGAACAATAGATGTAGAATATTTGTCAATATTAATTGATAAAAGAAATTTTCATTGGTATGAAACCATGAGAATTTGTCTTAGAATCAACCATCATACATTCTAATGAGTTCATCGATGATCATTGATTGAGAATCTTCTTCATTGTATTCTTCAGCAATGACCTTTCGAATTATATCGATAGCAAATTCTTGTATTTCTAATGATAAATTGATATGATGACTTATTGATGTGTTTATAGGAACGAAGAGTTTATGGTTCTATATGATTAGTAAATGTTAAAATTCGTCTTTGAAGAGTGGCACATTTTCTGCAGATAATTCTTGTACATAAATATGTTCACTGTTGATATATATTAAATTTTGTTTCATTTTCTTTTTCAAATTCATTCGTTTTAAGAACACTAGTCGAAGTGACCTACAATTATCGAACGATTTCTACTTATATTCACAAGAGATCTTTTATCTTAATGGCTTTTACTGCGGCGGTGGCGAAGCTGTTGATGTCATTTGTACAAGATGTGTTCTATGATAAAACCTATGAAATAAAAATATAAGAGAATTACCCGTTGTTGAATTAGCATTCGAAGATACGATATTAGCAGAAACTTTTATGATATTTACTGTCGATGGTTCTTTTTTTTAAATGATGGTTTGAGAAATGAAAAAGGATATTGAATTTCTTTCAATTGAATAATATATAAATCATCGACTGAATTCAACTGTTCAATCATATCTAAATATGTACTCGGCATTAAAATTATTTCTTTCTCGGTATCTTTAAAATATGAATATGATATAATTGACTTTTCATTTTAATATTCAATAGAACATCATCTTCGTATGCCTTTCTTGCCCAAAAATAAATCTGATCGAAAAATTTCTACACTAATAGTACACGAGCTCACTCCCTCTCATAGAGAATGATGAGAAATAATTTCAAATAGGAAAAACTATGGTTTCAAATTATCACGATTGTCATTTCGTAGTATCGAATTGAAGAGTTGATAAAGACTAAGAACATCAATTGAAGTTCTCTTTGATCATCTAGACATTTTCATCAAGACTATCAAATAAATGTGAAATTACGGTTATTGCTTAGTCTAATGACACTAGAGACATCGCTTTATAGCCTTTGATGGGTGAGAGAATATGTGCAATCGATTCACTGATCAAATCGGTATATCGAGAATTGCTGAGATTTTGATTAGTTGATATGCTTTTAGCTATGATAATGCACTTTCAACGATCGATATTTACTATTGGACGATAATTTGTGTTCACCACATGTAACTAGACGTATTACTTTCTTGATTATTCACTTGTATGAATAAAGAAAACAATGCAACGACGAAATAACTTATTGATGCAGTTTCTCATTATAGTCATGATGAGGTAAAAACAAAATAACAAAAAAACAACATTCCGTAATAAAATATTAGTCATTCTTATTCATCATCAAATATCTAGATTATGAAATAGAGCATTGTCTAATGATGATTTTCATACATCGTAATGGAATAATAAAGTGATATATTTGTAGATTGAAAAATCGATATTGATTTTAGTATATTTCAATAAGATCCACTAAACATGATAAGTGAATCGATGTCGAAAATGAT